CCCCATCCAACCTGGCTTCGGACACTTCCAGGAATGGGGAAGCCACAGCTTCTCTGGGCAACCTGTGGCAGGGCCTCACCACCCTCACAGGCAAGAATTTCCTCCTAATATCCAATCTAAACCTGCCCTCCCTTGTCCCATCACTGCTTGCATTTGTAATGCAGATCCCAAGCACAGTAAAAACTAGACGTGGTGTTTCAGTGGGACAAAAGCAGGCAGTGCAGTCGTGCAGGTTTCAGTGCACACAGTGTGCAGCACCCTTGATACCTGCAGGTGACAGTAGTTTCTGGTATTCTGTAGGTGTTTGCAGCTCTCAGGTTGCACGCAGGAGGCAGATTGTGGTTTATGGGTGCCACCGGTACATTAACACTGGTCCTCGCTCAACCATCCAGACAAAGGTGAACGGTTTTGGTTTACCACATTCTCAAAAGGAGGAAAGGATTTCTTGCTTTTTCCAGTTGATTGTAGAAAAGATAAATTGTCATTCTCGCTTGTGCAGTTTAGTAATGACAAACCTCAAGAGCTGGTACTTTTGGGTGATCTAAATACGGGTTAAATTTTGGTCAAACCTTAAAATGTGATTGTGTTTAAGGTACAGCTCCGAGGTTTCGGTGAGTCACTGTCGTGAGTGGGAGGGTAATGCAGGCTCTTTCAATCTGGGTTTGTGTGTATGTATATACCACATCCCCCCTTCAGGTGGGTGCATGTTGTGGGGCTGGGAGGGAGAAGTGACAGAGGAGGAAAGGTAAAGACCCCTAACAGTCCTTTGGAGAATCCCATTTTATCGCAATGTGGAACATAGAAATTTTTTGCCTGTATTAGGTACTGCAGTGTGTTTATGTGAAATCATCAAAGGTTTTAAGTATGTTTATGTCCACAGTTTGTACCTGACGGGTTTTGTAGTTGGTTGAGTTCTGAGATACTGAACCACGTGTGCTCTGGATACGGTGGTGGAATAAATTTCTCATACGTGTGGGACTGTGACCGTTAAAACAATCATTACTGAAACCCTATACCTTATTTCCTGTAACCAATAGCAGCTCTCTACCTATGGAATATATTAACAATTATTCCTTTGGGTTTGGATCGTTGCTTAGCTATTTTGTTGGACAGATATTTAAACGTGATCTGTAATTTATGTTGTCTGAATACGTCAATGAACAGAGCTAATTATGGCTTTCTGATGTGAGCTGTGCTGATGTTTGTGAAACCACACTTCTGTTTGTAAGACAGAGGGGACGTGTGTTCTTTAATAAATCATGGAAAATGACGAGTTTTCTCTACCTAGGTTGGTTAACAAAAATACTTGAGTTGGTGTTCACCTAGAGTTTAAAGTGGAGCCATGGTTACTGTGGCTAGTCAAACAATTAATTCGTCTGTGCCTTTAAATTTTTATTTATTACTCTGTATAGTACTCCAATTTTCTTTTAAAGGGAAATTATTAGGTCAAACAGCAGCGGCCCTTTCAGGGAACTCCATCACTTGCCCTGTTTCTGCAGAGTGCTCACTGTGGGGTAGAGCTGCAGCAACTCACAAAAGTCCTGGATGAATGTCACTGTGAGGGGCTGGCGTTGAGACAGCACCTAATTACCCACCTACACTTTATGGTTCTTCAGTATACCTCTGTATTAGTCATGTCATTTTGACACTGTAAGCACTTGGAAGGATTTTTTTTAATTTCAAATAGTTTCTTCTCAATGTATGTGCTGAAGAATGTGCTCCTCTCTGTAGTAAAGCCAGAGTAGGAAATATTCAAAGCAAAGGATCCTGCGGGCCTGCGGATTGAGCTGTTTGAGGAACACCCAGGATTGCTGGCTCCAGAGAGGAAACACTGTAATGAGAAAGGGGAAGCAGTTCTGTTTTTCTAATATTTGTTGTTTTCTTTGAAATGGGGAAAAGAATACCTGGAGTGATTTATATTTAATTGAGGATTGCATTCCATCAGATACGGTGAATGTTCTCAGGCCATTTATCAGCTGTGTCTTTTGGAGACCTCTGAGGAGTCTATGGGACGTATTTACCTTAACTTGGCTGGGTCAAGGGAAATAAAGCAAAAATAATAGCTGTTATTTTTGTATGTGAACAAAACTGGAAGTCATGTGGTGAAATATGAGGTAAATGACTCTGTCCTACCTCCTCTGTGCCTTTTTAAATACAAAAAATTATTAGTTATATGTAATATAATTTCCTTTGTATTATCAGTGTATCTTTTTAAAACAGAAGATTTATGGACTTTTTCATTGCTCCATCTTAGTCAAGCCCTGAAGTCGATGTGAAATATACTGTGCTGCCATTATCCTTTAGTTTAATATTTAGGCATTATCTTGTTAAAAAAACACAAACAAACCAAACAACCAAAAAACAGAACAAAATATACCCTATACTGCTTTTTATATAATATTCTAACATTTTTTCTGAATTGAGTATGATGTGTGTTGTGAGTAATATGCAGAGAGATCACACAATGCTGTAATCCTACACGTGCTGGTGAGGATTTTAGTGATCAGCACCTGCATTTTTGAGGAGTGAGTTTTGTAAGAAACCTTTTGAGCTTCGGGTTATCTCTGAAAAATGTGTCACTGCTGATTTTCACCCCTACAGGCTGCTGCCATGGGGTCTGCAAGTGTTATTGTGAAGAATTGCATGGGAAGAGCCATCTAACACCCACTCCACGATACATCCACAATTCCAGCCCAGTTTCCCAGTGTAAACAGCCAAAATGTATGACAGTGTTCCTGTAATGTTTGCATGATGCAGTTTTACTAATAGATCTAAAGGCAGGTAAATGCAGAATAACTAAATGTCAGGGTCTTTAAGCAGGGAGGAAACCTGAGAACTGAGAAAGTCTCTTACCATCAGCACGTACAGTCATTCTCTGTCCCTGTGAGGGATGTACACTGAAAACTGGTGCAGAGTAAAACCAGAGAGCACAGTGTCGACTCAGCTAAACCTGGTGATAAAACCAGTTTCAGAACTATGATGAAGTGTGGTTTGATCAGATAGTTCATGAAAAAAAAAATGCTTTATTACTGGTACTGCTAATGACTTGTAAATTAGCTGCAACCCCTCCCTGAGTGACTGACTCGATGGCATTTACCAACTTTTCACGTACCCCTTTTTTAGGGGCTGAATTTGTAAAACACTTCCCTCTTAGTCCTTTGAATTAAATTTTCGGTGACATTTGATGACAAGCGTAGCATGATTAATTACAAATTGTTCTGTAGGTGAATAGTGCAGATTCTAAACCACAGCTTGTGTTTTTATAGCAGTTATTACTCTGCAGGCTCCAAAAGGGCTTTGGAGGAGAGACTATGATTTTGGTTACATCATTGTAAATTCAGAGAACGTCAGTGATCTCAAAAGTGTGATTTTTTCAAAATTAGGTCAGTGGAAAAGAGATCAGAATCTGTTTTGCTACCTGAAAAGAAGCAAGCTCCAAAATGGAGTGAAGTCTTTGCTTCCAGGGGGCTTTCTTTTTGGTTTTGCAGAGAACATATTTGTTATAAAAAATAATTTATTTGAAATATTACGGGAGAGTGAATAATAGAGCAAATTATAACCTGAATCCTGGGTGGATTATGGATAGAAAGTCCGAGCATGGAATAATTTTTCTCTTGCTGTAATCTGTAATGACCCAGGAGCTCTACATCACCATTTCATCTGGCACCCTGATGGGCCAACAGCTCAAAGCTAGCTAAAGGTGTCTTGCATTTTGTCTCCCAATAGAGTTGATTCAGTGTTTGAATTTTTGTTGCTGGCTAGCTGATCTTTTGGTAGCTACAGTGCACTTTTAAGGTGTTTTTTTTTTTTTTTCAAGATTTGTTTTCTCCCCTCTGATTACAGAGTACATAATATTTTTCACCTGATCTCGGGTTGAACTAAATCTCACAGTTGAGATGATACTGAGATTTTCAGGAGTTTGTAGTTCTCTGTTGAATTCTCACTTCTTGTCACCAGAGGTTTTGGTAAGATAAGGATTACAGTCTGAAACTACTAGAAATGACAGGTCAGGAAATGGATGTAAGGTCTTGCAATATGCAGCATCAAACATGAATCCTGAGTAAATGAGTTTAACAGAGTCCTCCCTTGTCCGGGAATGGTGAGGAGGAAACCATCAAAGAGCTGGTCATGGGTGGTGAATACCTTTCAGGGTTTTGTTTTCAGCTTTTGTGTGTGATGGTTTTGCTCGAAGCATCTGAGAAGCCGCTTTTCAGTACCCCAAGGCCTGTGACTCATGAGGGCGATGAGCAACAGTCACAGGGTTTTCATCTGTCCCCTCGCTTTGGGCAGCACGTTTTGCATCCTGTTTGTGAGCAGCTCTGTGGCTTCTCATCTGAGAGCTTCCTTAAGCCTCCTCTGCTGTTCTCTTCCACCTGTTTTGGAGTACTCGGAGAAAATATCCTGCTTTATCTCCTGCTGTTGTTGCTTGGGTGATGATCCCAGCTCCCAGAGATGCAGGAGAGTCCCGAGGGATGCTCCAACTGTATCTCACCAGGGTGCTCTCTAGCTTTAGGTTCCTTACCTAAATCACTGTTACTAGCAAGTAAGAAGTGTGTTTGAACTGTTTTTTTTCATTTTATCTGCCACCAAGAAAAGGGGCGAAAATGATGAAAATATGAATAAACTGCTCTGGAACCTATGGAAGAATTGTATGTGTTTGGGAATGAGTGTATAAAGTAAAGCTGCTTTTAAATATCCACTTGAAAACAAAGCAATAAATTAAAAATACAGTGTTTCCTAAGTCCTAAGATTCATGTAAAAATTACGAGTGGTATATTTTAATAATTGAAACGAATAGGTGTGATAATATTTTCCATGTAATTGCTAAGTAACCTTTTCTGAAGTAAACTTATTAATGTAATATGAAGATTTTTTTATGGAAAATCAGGACACGGCGAGGCCTTGCAATATATTTCTGCTTTTTCCAACATAATTTTCTTAAATAATTAAAAAAAAAGCTCTATATCTAAAGAAAAATATTTCTCTGTTTTCATTTTCAGGATCCAAACAGTTCTGAAGCACTTGGAAAATGAGTGTTCTTCTCATTGAGCCCTTTTATGGTGGTTCCCACAAACAGCTGATGGATCTTCTTCAGGAAGAGCTGCAGGAAGACTGTGTCCTCTGCACACTCCCAGCCAAGAAGTGGCATTGGAAAGCACGGACTTCTGCTCTTTATTTCATGCAAACAGTGCCAACAAGTTCTAATTACAGGTAACCCTGAGGAATTTCTGAGCTCAAATTACAGAGAAACCTTCAACCAGGTCTCTCGAGCTGAATCCCTGTGTGCATGCAAGGGGATGTATGTGGAAGCAAGTGGAGACTTGCAGTGGACAACACAGGTTTTTCTTCTGGGAAATTACTGCTGTGTTTTATTTAGAATTTCTTAGACTGTTTTGTCTTGCACTGCCAGTCCTTGGGAGTCTCTGAGTATCTGGAAACATGATGTCTATACATGTAAATGTATCTCTTATTTGAAATTTATCCAGTGAGTTAAGTCATACTGAAAGGTTCAAACCGTGCTTCCCAGATCAGGTTGAAAGGTGGCACAGATATGAAGGCTCCAAGCTTCCCCACGTGCCCTCTGATGTATCTTTTAGCAATCAGTGTCCTGCTCAGGCTGACCTGGAGGATTAAGGGAGCAGTTTTATCTTAATAACAGTCTGGTTCCATAATGTGCCAGCAACTGTGGGTGTCAATTATGCATTTATGCAAGTGGCAAATTTCCATCAGGTAGAACCTGGACTGATAAAAGCAGGCTATTTAGGTCAACAAGATAGCTATCGTGTAGTGAGACTCAGTCACTTCAGAACCAAGGTGTCTTTAAAACCAGCAGTTTTGCTTGGCCTGCCTGATGAGTTGAGATGTGGTGAGAAGATTGGAGCAGTGAGATACTGCCCTGCTCAGAACACGCAGCTGAGCATCATGGGGGGACTTTACACCTTCATGGAGAGACACTGTTCATGCACAGGGTTATTTTAGCACAAGCAGCTGCTTTTCAGCAGCAGAATGAACTGCAGCAGGAGACTCTGAGCACACCTGAATGATGTGCCAACTACTTGCAGTTCAAAACTGGGTCTGGTATATGTTACCAGGAACAAGTAGATGTTTCCTGAGGAAGGAATATCATTTTTCAGGAGTAGATTTGTGCTATACGAGGCTGCATTTGAACAGTGTTATTCAACACAGTGTCTAATTCATTTTGGAACACTTACTATATAAATGTACACCTTTCCTGTGCCTGCTTTTGGCTCCCATTTAAAATAATCTCCCATCCCAAGCCAAACGTTAAAATTAATTCTCCCTGGTTTGCCTTGTGCGAGGCTTTTAGTGTTGGTTTCCTCTTGCTTTCTTTTTGCAACAGTTTTGTTTTGGAGGAGTGTACATGACAAACTGTTATGTAAATTTGTCTTGTATCGCAACCACATCCTCCAACGCATCGCAATGTTATCTGTGTTCCTTCAAGGTCAGCAGCCCAAGCTGTCCAGCACTAACTGTATTAAACTAATCAGACATCACTCATAGACATACACTTCATTAGTTTAACTTACAGTTACATTGACCTAAGATAACTTAACTCCAATTTGTCAAGTAACCCACGTCTCGGGGGAAGGGGGAGGGAACGCAGAAGAAAAAAAAAAAAAAAAAAAAAAGGCAAAATCCCACAAAAACCCCCAACAACCTAACAAAAACCCCCCTCAACCCAGCAGCCTGAAAACTCACTTGAAGTTAATAAACTTGCAATCTGTCATAGACTTATGTGCAAATATAACCTTTACTGACAGCAAATAAATCTGATCTAACCAATGGAGCATCTTAGAGAGAGGGAAGCGTTCTCTTTGCTGGTGCTGTTTGGGTTGGAGCAGAGAGGATCAAACAGTCAAAGTTGACAAAGATGGAGGGTTTAAAAAAGTTTGTAGCTTGTCCTCGCAGGCAGCATAAAATTTTAGGATCAAGGGCTGATGTGGCTGATGAGAGGAAACCTGATTAGAGGTACCTGCTACTTTACTTGCACATTTTTAATGCTTGTTTCGTAATTGAATGTTTCAATTATTTTATTAAATTGAAAGTATAAGTACATGAGACTGCAACCTACTAAGGCTAACTACTCTCTCCTGTTAGAAAAAACATTGATTAAAATGAATATTGATTCTTTTATTTCTAGCTTGCTAGTAACCACTAAAGATCTGCTTCCCAGGTAGTAGTTTTTAAAGACAGAATTCCATTGCAGACTGGGAGGACTGTGTGTTTGGAATTGCATTGTTTAAATATTTCAACCTTCTTGTGAGGTCGTGAGAAATACCAAATTTGCATTATTTATAATATTGACATCATTTACAGGAAAAAAAATACTTTCTTTTACAAGTGCTTTTCATAAATGTGCTGTCTCATAAATACCTTTTTCTGTTTGTGTGTTTATTAATGCAGAAAGGTTTCAGATATCCCAAGTGCAAATGCTTTTGGTGGTGGAGCTGTGTTAGTAAATTTTTATGTTCAAACTGTGCTTTATTTCAAGATGCTGATGTGTCTGGGAAATAATACTGGTGCTGGTAAGTCTGATATTAGATGCATTTGTAGGGAAGTTGTGTAGATATGTTTTATAAGACTTAGAGTTTTATCCATGCATCTGATTATGGGAAGGAAGCATGTTTGTTATCTTACAGGTGACACTTGGTGGGTTAAGGAACAGTCTTAAAAAGTGCTTTTGAAGCAAAATAGTCAGTGCAGAGTCAGAGATGTTAAATTCAGATACTCTGCAGTGACCAGGGAGTTGATGTGATGAACTTGTTAATAGTTTTATCAGAGAAGAGACGTGTCCTCCCTTGACCAAGAATTAAAGCGGAGTTGGTAACGAGCAGGGCATGTAATGTTACTTTTGTGTGCTGTGCTGGTAGTATCTTGGTGTGTGATAACATTTTGTTCCCAAGAAGGAGGAGACCTACCCAGAATTGTAACAGAGAGAAGGAATCCTCACCCTGCAGGGGAATCGGACACTTAGTATTTGATCTGCAGCACTGCGTGGTTTTGTGTTAACTCCCTGATGCAAAGTCCAGGCTGTGCTTGTCTAGAAAAGTGTTCCTTTTCTGTTTTCACGGCTTTGTTGAGCAGTGTGTTGTTACACCAGCCCATGTCTTCATTCATCTCCTGAAAGGAGAGCAGGAGCCCTGATGAATGGGAAGCTCAGGCCCGCAGAGTCCTTCCAGCTTGGAAAGCCAGAAGGAGAATTTAAAGGTGGATCACTTGGCTAGTGGACTTGAAGTGGGTCTAACAGATTGATGTGCAGCAGCCACAGAACTGAGCATTTCTAGGAGCTGTCTTAATTGCTGGAGAGTCCCACAAGATTTTTCCTTAATTGGAAAGAAGGTGCTTGTTTGGACATTGTGTTGCTACAAGGAGTTTCACCCTTGTGGTGGCGGTTTCCAAAATCCTAGTGTTTGAAATGTACCAAAAAAGGGCAGAATTTCTGTCTGCTTCCTCTAGACAAACTTTTCAGCAGTCTTAGAGTTTAGTTAGCAGTTGATGGGATTTTATCATCTCCATTCCATGAATTCGGAAGGTCCAGCAGAGAGCTGTGACCTCCTAAGGCTCCTGGCACTCTGCAGAGTTGCTGTGGTGTCTGCTTTGTCTCCCAGCTTCCTTCAGACAGCTTAAACTCCTTGATAAATGGAGATGTCTGATCCCTAGCCTGAAGTTGTTTTCTGTAGCTCGTAGTGACTATTCTGTAATTCTAGAAAGCACGTAACAAAAAGAATTTTTTTAGCCTTTTTTTTTTTTTTTTTTTTTTTTTTTTTTTTTTTTTTTTTTTTTTGTTCTTAGCTCGAGGAAAGTTCTCAAATTTGAAAATACCATTGCACAGTTCAATGAAAAAAAAAAAATCACTCTTCTTTTTCCTGTAATTCTTTTCTTTATTACCATGAACAATCTATTAAATTTCAAACAGTAAAAACACTTGATATGACACAGTAGAGGAAAGCAGTTTATATTTCAAGGGCTATCCTCTACAGAAAGTAATTCAAACCCCAAAAAGTTAGGACTATAAGACTTAGATCTGCAGAACAGAGAGACTAAATTCAGTGTAGCTTCCAGTTTGTTGTAATAGCACTGCTAGATTATTTTAAATATATATGTATAAATATTATGTATAACATTCAGTATTGCCCCCCAGGTAGCTGTTCATATGAATAAAGATTTTATTTGTAACAGATTCTAGCCCTGAAATACCCCAAGGGTAAATGTTAGCATATATATACCCCTTGATATTTGACAACTATATTTTAAAGACAAACTCTGCACTTTTTACATTTTACAAAAGAGAAAACAAATCATTGTTTTCAATTAATAGAGCTCTGAAAAAAAAACCAACCTGGGGGTATGGTGTTCAGCAATGGGGAGTATGTTCCAATAGTATATATTGTAGATATGTTTTTTTTTTTATTATTTTTTAAATTCTGTTAAGCCTACTAGATTTAGGATTGTTTCAAATCTGATGTTTTTGTTCTATTTTGTAAGGAGAAGATACATTATTATAGAGTGAATTCTCTGTTAACTGATGAACTGGTGTCACCTAAATATCTTCTTAAAAACACTGATCCTTTCAATTTTTATTCCAATAAGTAGTTTAGTCCCACTAAAAACATAACACTGCCTGAATGTGTGAGCATTTGCAAGCTTGAGGATTTACCGTTTTCTAGATATTTCATTTTCAGAAACAGTCCTGTAAGTACTTTGTCCTGGGGAAGGTGTTTGAGGATGACACTTGAAGCAAGGCAGGGCAAATTTCAGCCATTTTATTAAATCTGAATACAAAGGTGCCCATTTGTGTTGGAAAACATTTCTACCTTTTTACACCTTTTTGTCAAATACTGGGAGTGTTTATATAAACTTCATAGGAACTGGAATAATTTTTCCTGCATTAGAGGCCTTCCTAGAATTTTGCCCCAGTAATACTCAGGTAAGGAATAAATAAATTATATGTTCATATATAGTATTATATATTTATTTAGCTAAATTTAGCTAAATAAAAGACAACCATGTACGTACAAATTAAAAAACAGTTTATCTGATGGTTTGGATATTTTGGGGCATGTTTTATGGTGTTTGCTTCTGTATATAGGCCAATAAAACATGAATCTCATTTATGGCATCAATTACTAAGAGTGTGCATTTTGGTGTTACACTCAAATTTATTGAAGATGGGACGCATCTCATCTTTT